TGATGTTCATAGTAAGAAGAAGTGAAAATATATAGTAATACCAAACACTTATCAAAGCTGGTATATAGACCAGATATAACCCTGAATAAGTAAACATTAAATAACAAAAAAAAACATTACAATTAGTATCAACAGGTCAAATAAACAAGTAAATACGATTTGTGAGTACTCGCAGTTACTGACTGCTAGTGAAAAGCCAAACACAATTGATAATTAAAATTCATGCATCAGAGACTAAAATCAACTAAAACACATCCCAGGGATTTAGTATTTTAACGTCATGGACAGTCAAAGAAGACATGACCTGTGCAATGCCAAAAATAAATGTATCGACAGGCAGTAGGATAGTTAGGAGTTAACCTCTTTATAGATCAAAATGTGAACGTTTATGTGTCTTTATATATACCGTTTGAAAAGAATACAAATTTAATTATGTTTTAATTTGCTGATAACAAAATCGATAATAATGCCAATGTAAACTATATTCAAAGATCTAATTACAACATTGGTAAGATAACCTTTACTAATAAGTTTGTTTAAAGGTTTGATGAGTTTACACGGATCACATAGTGATTTCTGCGCTTTGAATACAATATAACCGTAAAATTTATGATGTTAACAACCAATTCTAATCAGTGTTCTACATTTACAGCCAAATTTACTAACTTTGTATCTATGAATTTAGTAAAAGTTTTACGTAATCTATGGTAACGAAATCCCTGACTTAATAATTTACCAGTGGTGCATTGATTACGTTCGTTAAAATGTATGACATCACTACACACGCGGGCATAACGAACGAGTTGGGATATATAAACACCGTATGATTGAGCCAAAAGAACATCGCCGTCTAAAAAAGGAAAATTAACAATAGGGAATGAAAAGTTGTCTCTATTGTCGTAAATTTTAGTATGATGATTTCCTTTAGAGATTAAAATGTCCAAATCTAGAAAAGGACAACTACTGCTGTTTATGTTAGATTAAATTAAATAAGTAAGTTCTTTTGGGTAAATTCCGGTAGAATATATGTATAGAAAACTCTGAATTATTTAACGAACAATATCATCCAGATAACGGAAAGTATTGTTGAATGTTTCAACCAAATGTAACAATGACGTGTCTTTACTGAGTTTAGTCATAAACTGAGATTCATAGCAATGCAGGAATAAATCTGCTATTAAAGGGGCGCAGTTAGTGCCCATAGGAATACCTACTACTTGTCGATACACTTTATTGCCGAAACGCACATATATGTTGTTCCGGAGAAAATTGAAGCTTCAATCATATCTTCACATTTCCAGTAAGTGTATCTAGCATACATTCTTTTTTCGTTACAGAAAAGGCTTTAAACGAGTTACAACAGATTTTTCAAAAGACCATTTAATTAAATATGAAAACGTTTTCTTGATAAGATTGTGTGGAAGTGTAGTATAGAGAGTAGAAAAATCATAACTGTCAACAGAATTAAAAGGACCATTAAAAGCATGTATTTTATCTAAAACCTCTACAAAATTTTTAGCACTACAAAAATAATTAATACCATTATTTTCAATAGCTGTATTACAAAAGTTAATAACAAGTTCTTTGATAGAAGTAAGGGAGATAGTTAGAAGCATGAATACAATGTTAATGTAGAAGCTATATGGTTCGAAAAAATAAAGAAAACTAAAAAATACAATATCCTTAAAGATAAAGTTAACTGGATTTCGGAATGGACAAGATTGAAATCAGCAATTCAAAATCGTTCAAGGACAGGCAAAAAGACGTCAACCTACAACCCGAACCAGAAAATATTGATTATTACGTTATAAATACTTTTGAATTTTACGATAAACGGAATAAGTTAGTTATCTTAAATGAAACATCTTTGAAATTAATCCAATATTCGTTAAATTTAGATATAGTTCCAAATTGTGAAATAAAATGGAATATTCAGTATAATTTGGAATTACCTTGGAAAAAGATACGGAGAAATTTGAATAAAAATATGTCAAACTGCGAGCTACTGCTCACTGATGATACCCCCGCCCGCCCAGGAAGTTGTTGAGTGATGAATCTGAAAACGCATCGCACGGTATAGCTGACTTATATTAACCCTGAAACCAAATTTCAGAAATCCTTATGATGAAGTTCCTGAGAAAGATGCGACGAAAAATATTCATGGGACGGATGTCCGGACTGACGGATAGACGGATCGAGGGAGGGACGGACGGACAGACAGAGGTAAAATAGTATACCCCACGTTTTTAAAGCGGGGGTATAAATATGTCCTCTAGAAAAGCAAATCAAATTAGCTGGAAAATTGTTCATAACATTATCCACACGGAGCAAAAACTATTTAGAATGGGCATATCCAATAATTGTAAAAGCCATTTTTGTAAAACAGAAAATGAAACCCTCACACATTTTTTTCACAGTTTTAACATTATAAAAGTTGTAGGGAACATATTTTAGATTGTTTCAAAGTTTATAATGTGCTGAATAATACAGCAGATATCCCCATGAGGGAAGAACATATCATACTAGGAATGTACGATAACAACAAAAAATATAATGTCATAACCAATACGATTCTGAATACAGTTAAATGGATTATTTGGAAATGTAGGAATATAATCAAATATCCGTCTAAAAGCTTTACTTCCAGCCAATTGATTTTATAAGCAAAACGGGAACTGGGCAGTTTAAATGAATCTATGGATATATCATTATCTTCAGAAAAAGAAAAATATGCAGCTGAAATAAAACTTACTGCAAACCTTATATTTTAAATAAATAACTTATAATTTTGTACTTACATTCTTTCCTATTTGCAACATTAAACATCCACCAACAGAAATATAGTATAACAACGTCGAGCATGTGACCTATCAAAATCACTGACCGACACATTACAATGTAATCTGGTGTTAAAAGTACAAATTTTAAATGTCAATTATAAGTAAAGGTAATGTGTAGATTATAACAAGTGTGTTATTCGGTGTATTTTATGTAATATATAATGTTATACTGTTTGATCGCAGTTTTTGTCTGTGTAATGAATAAGAATGTAACCTATGTGCTAAACATAGAAAATAGTTTTTTTTTATATTGGAGTCCACCGTTTATCCATGGACGATGGAACATTGTGTATACTTCCCTGGGTTATACAAAGTAAATCATATCCAGGTGTTTTTTCAATAAATGTATTTCAATTAAGGATGTACTTAGGTGATCTAAGGTAAAATTAAATAAATCAAGAATTCAAAATTGATACTTTAAGATGGAAGAGTATTAGTTAAGGATCAAAATAAGCTAAAAATATTGATAGGTCATGGAGCTCCTTTTCGAGATATTTGATTTATGAAATATGGCGGGAAGAGGCTGACTCTGACTTTTACCTTATATTTGCATTGGTATTATTTGGGTCTCAAATCAGAAGAAAGAAAATCAAGAATCTGCTTAAATTTTGTCAAATGACCTTTTATGAGCTATTAATTCTTATGTTAAAAGATAAATAGGTGTTATGAGGCAAAATATTTTACCTTATATTGTATGGAAAAAAACCGAGGAGTCCGAACATTTAACACAAATTCCAAAACCTCACCTAAGTACAACCTTAAGTCTTGAAAAAACTAAATTCTTAAAAAAAAGCTACATGTAATAAAGTATCATAAATTGGTCAAAAATGGTCCACCTGCAATTATGTATTATTTGAAGCGTACATTGTTCTGTAAAACTTCATTTTTTATGGCAAAAAGGGCATGGTGCATCTATTCTTTTAAGGTAATGTTTCACATGTTGCACATTTACTTTAGTATGCTTGAACGATTTAGTTGAAACCTTACAATGTTGTGGTGATTGGAGAAAGTAAATTTCCTTTAATTTCGATATTTTCCAGATTGTTACATTTATTGCAGATTAATCTGTGATAATTATAATGCACTGCTACACTAGAGAAAATTTTAAGAACGCTATCACGATTTGGTTGACCGTTATGGAATAACTGTTGCATAAATAACGACTGTTATGTTCTGTTTCTATTGTTGATATCATCTCAGGTTTTTGGTGTTTTTTTGTTGCTCAGTCTTGAGTTTTCTATATTGTGTTTTGTATACTGTTGTTTGTCTGTTAATCTGTTTTGTATTTTGCCATGGCGTTGTCAGTTTATTTTTGACTCGTGTGTTTAAATGTTCCTGTGGTATCTGTCGCCTCTCACCTAGAGACAATCATCAAATACAGTATAAATTTTAATTTAATTTTCAATAGTACATGTATATATATGGCTGTTTTGTTGAAGATATCAATTTGGATAATGGTAAAACTGATCTATTTCAGGATGATAAACAAATAAAATCTAAGCCATTACAATAATAATTCTGTAATCTCCAGGAAAAAAAAACTATAGGATTTTCAAATTATTGAAGAAATCAAATAAGTATTTTGAGTCAACATTTCACTCAAAACTTATCAAGTGAAGAGGAAAGAAAACGGGGGAGGCAGAGTCTTATACAATTTACAAGGGGAAGCGATTAATATAATTGACCAACTGAATCTTAAAAAGCGGGAATTTGATTGATCGAATTAATATAAAATGAAAATTGCACTCTATATATTTTGTTCGATTGGAGCGCGTTTTGGATTTTACAACACATTACCGTTAAAACCCCCAAATATGAAAGTCAAGGATGTACAGATATCCTTGACTTGATTATATATATAATTGCATTTTATACCTTGTTTTATTGTTGTGATACTATTCATTGTCAGATTGTATAAGCTGCGATTTTAGAGGATTTTTCTTACCTAAAGCTAAGATCGATAAAATTTTATCAAAGAAGAAATCTTGGTATCATTTAGTAACAAAACGGAAGTATTTAAAGCGTAGAATGAAACTATTTAATGTATACATTTTATCAAATCTTAGTTTTATGTTTATATTTCTTTCTCAACCGCGTACAATACATGATTTCGTGAAAACAACAGAGTACAAAAAAAATCATAAATCATAATATACACACCTTAAGAAATTTCCGCCTCTGCTTTAAGACGAGTTTGATTTTGTGACAATGACACTTGATTTAAAGACATGTGTTAAACTTAATCATCCACAAAAACAAAAATATTTGATGTACAACGTATCCTTAATGGTGCGTTTATCTAATGGCTTATGACACTGTTTTCTCAGTACTTTACTTGTCTGTCTCGTGTTATTACGTATCTCAATGTTCTAAATTCACCTGTTCTACCGAACATAAACTATTTATGTGCAAAACGGTATTAATATTCTGAAGCCTACAATTAAACCTAATCTATATTCTACATCAACTAGATCCAAGGTATATGTAAATGAATCTTATTTTTTTTAAATTTTCAATATTGGAAAACATTTAAGTTTTCATTCCAGTACATGCTTTATCATGACACATGATTTTAGATATGTATTTAGGAATTAATTGGACTTTAACTGTCAAGGGGCAGGGTTCAATAGTGGTCTTATTTGGCCTTTTTGTTTACTGAAATTTGAACATACATCGTAATTTTTCAATGTAAGTCAGTTTTAATGTTTAGGTTTGGTGAAAATATAAACCAAGAGTGTTTTATTCATAATGTCACAATACATGTAGTATAGAAGTCAGGAAAAAAAATCCTTCTACGTTTTTTGGTGAAAAATATAATGATTTTGGTATTTTTAGTACAGTTTTGGACACACAAATATAGAGCGCATTCAAGTAGCAACTATATAATTAACCACAATGTTTGTCTATATAAACAAAACCTTTCACGTAATATTTTATATTTTAGGGGTAAAATAATTGGAATTTTGCTATCTTCAGACTACTAACTATCTGTAAATAATAATGATATTTTAAAGATATTACATTTCAAACTTAGCTCATACTTAAAGATTATTTTAAAGCATAAATCACATTATTCTGTAAAACTTCATTTTGTAGGGCAAAAAGGGCCCAAAGTGCACCTACTCTTTTAGGGTAATGTTTCACATGTTGCACATTTACTTTAGTATGCATGAACGATTTAGTTGAAACTTACAATGTTGTGGTGATTGGAGAAAGTAAGTTTCCGTTAATTTCGATATTTTCCAGATTGTCTTTTCCTAGTTATAGGATCTCAATTTGCATAAAAAAAAATCCTGAAATCCTGGCACTCCTGCCTACTTTTATTGCAGATAAATCTGTGATAATTATAATGCACTGATACACTAGAAAACAATTTAAGGACGTTATCACGATTTGGTTGACTGTTATGGAATAACTGTTACACAGATAACGACTAGGTTAGTACTTGAGCAATACGACGAATGCCACATGTGGAGCCGGACCTGCTTACCTTTTCGGAGCACCGGATATCATCCCAGGTTTTTGGTGGTTTTTTTTGTTGCTCAGTCTTTAGTTTGCTTTGTTATGTTTTATATACTATTGTTTGTCTTTTGGTCTTATTCGTATTTTTCCATGGCGTTGTCAGTTAATTTTCGACTTATGAGTTTGAATGTCCATTTGGTATGCCCTAGAGACATCATCAAATACAGTATAAATTTTAATAACATTTTCAATAGTATGGCTATTGTTCAACTTGGCAAAATGTCTGTTTCAGGATAATAAACAAATAACATCAAAGGCATTACAATAATTATTCCGTAATTTCCAGGAAAAGAAACTATAGGGTTTTTGTAATTATTGAAAAAATCAAACAAGTATTTTGAGTCAACATTTCACTCAAAATTTATCAAGTGAAATTTTTCACTTAGAAAATTTATTATCAGAATTTTTACTAAGATCGGCAACATGAAATGTTTTAAAATCATATTTGTATGAAACGTATAAATTTCTTGTTTGATTCCCACTACAACTCCAAATAGTTCTTTTGATCCGGCTTATTTATAAATCTATTGTTTAGAATTCATGGTTTTTTTTCTTTATACCATTTATTTCACATCTTTGTCCTTAACTGTTATAGCGGGTCAGTGGTCATAAAGCTTTGAAATTCTTATATCGGTAAACCACTATAACTATCCTCGTGTTCTTATCTTTTATAAATCAGGAACGTGCATATCTTACAAAATGTCTACCATCAAAAGTCATTAGCGGTACATAACATTGACATAAATATTTTTTCTGTGGGTCTTGAATATAGAAAATAACAAAAAAAAGATAGAATTGAAAGTTTGATTCAATGTTGTTGTTTGTATATTGCTATACCTTTATGGAATGTTTGTTTCAAATAGAAGCAATGTTGAAATACCGCTAATCAGAAACCAAGCAGTAGTTTGTAGCATTTGTTTTTTAGGCAATATTTTTTTTTACCTTGATATTTCAAATTTATTAGCTAAATGTCTGAGATTGTTTTGACGAATACATTAAACATATTAAATCAATGCATGATATTACTCTATTCAGACATTGCACAACACTTACAAGTGAATTGGGCATACTTCTGTTTAACATATACGTTTATTAATAAACCTGAAGCTACCAAAAAGAGAAAATTTATATGACAAATAAAAGATCAATAACAAAACACTGTATAAAAGACATCTAGTTATTATTAAATTCTTAATAATAAAATACTCGTTAATGCAATATATGAGTTAAAACATCTGAAACTGCTAAACGAATGATTTTTCATCAAAACATATTTAACGATATTGTACACCAGCATTTATATATTAAGAAAGACCTTTCGTCATGTGGTCATACATTATCGTTTTAGGAACTGTATAAATTACCAGCGGATTAAACCACAAATTGAGCATTAAACAAAAAAACTATAAAGCAATGTGCACTGGTGGATATTTTAATATAATACTATAAGCGTATTATGCAATTTACCCGTGGAAGCGATTTGTATAGTTTACCTACTGAATTTTAAAAAGCTGGAAATTTATTTCAAAAATAGTTGTTGACTGTCATTAAAAGCTGTCCAACATAATCAACACCACAAATGAACAATTTTTTCTAATCTATATTTGACATGAAAATATTTGGCCATTTACTGTCTCTATGCAAAATCCTTCTAATCCATGTTGATTCAAGTGCTGTGATAAACATATTGAAATCAAGCATTTTCAAACCTCCCTCAGAATAATCTTTGATTTGAATATCATTCTTTACTCTATGTATAGGTAAGTTCGATATGTACTTATAAATAAGTTCATTTATTTTCTTTACAATATCATCTGAAGGGTTTTGTCGAGAGATAATGAGATGGTTTACAATAGAGAAGACTAGACATTTAATCACAGTTATTCTACTTTTTACAGTCAAATTCCTTTTAGACCATAGATTATAAGTATTTTTAATCAGTACAATTCTTTCAGAATAATTTATCTTAACAATATTTTCAAGATCTTCATCAAAATTAATACCTAGTTATTTGAAAGTAGTTTCAACCCAAGACAGTTTTCTGTCAGGAAATATTGTATCTGTACTATATTTTTTGCTCCCAAACCAAATAACTTGTGTTTTCGATAAGTTAATATTCATTCCAGATAATTTTGCAACCCAGTCTAAAAATGTTTCCTGTAGGGATTTTTCAATCCAATCAAAAATCAAAGAGGTGCAATCAGCAAATTATGACAATTCATGTTCAACCCGTGTGACCTTGATACTACTTATGTCACTATTTCCCTTTATTTTCAATGCATGAATCTCAACACATAAAATGAAAAGGTATGGAGACAGCGAGTCTGCTTGTCTACAACCCCTTCCATATTTCAAAACATTTATAAAAAAATCCCATGATATGGAATTGAAAGCTTTTTCGAAATCTATCAATAGTAAAAGCCCTGGTATTTCACGTTCTTCTGTATATTGCAATATATCATAAATGAGTCTTATATTTTTCACAGTATACCTACCACTAATAAAACCAGTCTGATCAACATTGATTAATTTATCAAGGACACTCTTAAATCTGTTTGCAATAACTGCTGATCCTATTTTATACACAGTACTCAGTAAAGATATTGGGCGCCAGTTTTTTTAAAAAGTGGCAGGGTTTATTCCCTTTCGGTAGGCAAGTAATAATCACTTGTTTTGTGTAACAAATAGTTCTCCTGTTTTTGCACCATAATTTACAGAATTACAATAAAAATGTGAAGATCCCTCCTACATTTTTTATAGAACTCTGCAGAAAAAACATCAGTTCCATGAGTTTTGTTGTTTTTCATTTTCTAATGCTTCTCCAACTTCTTTAACAGTAATTATACTTTCCAAGCTTTCTTTTTCCTGAGATGAAAGTAAAGGAACACTTAAATTTTTTCAAGTCTTTTTTCAGATCGCTTAAAGTACTTTTGGTAACTCTTTTTCTTTTATAATGATTGTCATAAAAATATCTTACTTCTTTTAATATATTTTTCTGGACTGTTATAATTTCCCCATTATCGATCGATGGCTTGAAAGTACATTACAATTTTTGAGACTGTTTCAGAAAGTTTTGAGTGAGAAGAACAAAGTTTAATCTAGCCTATTGAAAAGGATTTCTCTTCCTCCTAGTGTATCACTGAACATCTGGAAAAAGTTATTTACATTCACGTAGTTGCAATAATTTATACATGGGTTTTGGACGATATTAAAATCACCACAAATAACATAGTATTTATTTTCAAAATCATCGATAACAGACATAATATTGTAAAAAAAATCTGGATTGTCTGTACATGGTCCATATAGAAATACAAGAGTTATCTTTCTATTTTCTATAAGAATATCTAAAATTAAATAGTTTCCATTTATATCTTTTTTTTCTTTTAATTTGCATTCTAAATTATTATTAAACAAAATAGCCACACCTATAGAGTTTGAGCTTACAGATGAAAAGTAACAGTTATAACCCAACATAGATCTCACCATATGTTCTATATCATTTGTAAAATGAGTATCCTGAATACAATACATATTACAGTCTTTTTACTTCAGCATATCATATACATCTTTTCTATTTGATATATTCCGAAGGCCTTGACAGTTAACAGACAAAATTTTCAATGAGCGCATTGTTCATAAAATGTTTGAATCCAAATTACACCTAGAAGTT